AACACTGTGGAACATGGGGAATTTTGCAGAGAGAAGATGAGACAGTAGCAGTTATTAATTCAGTAAAATGCATTAGGATAGAGAGGGTGAATGGTAGCTGTATGCAGTGAGATAGGAAAAGAAAGAAACTTCGTCAACACAAATTCATGTTTACTCACAAAGCTGATGAACCTATCACTGTATCACTGTATCACTGTCATCCTGTTGTTCATCGATTTGCTCGAGCGGGCGCCAATGATGTCTCCAATCGTCTCAGCCCTGAGATTTTAGCTGCCTCTCCTTACTCGTCCTTCCCAATGGTGCCATATTGGAGGCTTTCAGGGTGAGGGGAATGAGACCCGTTATTGTTACTGGTTTTGGCATATCGAATATGCCATGAGGAGCTTGCCAGGTTCTCATGAGCAAGAATACTCACAGGGACATATACTTTTCAATACATGGTTTTGGGGGCTGTAATGGGTTGAACTATCAACTATAATGGGTTAAACCATCACAGGTTAGAAGAAGGCTCAACCCTCAAGATCTCTGAATACGATCTTAGGTGGAAACAGAATCTTTGCAGATGGGAAAAAGGCAAATAATGTCATACTGGGTTAGTGCAGTCTATAATCTAGTGTTTTGTTAAAAAAAAAAAGGGGGGGTGGGGCCAGTGCTATAGTACAGCAGGGAGGGTGTTTGCCTTGCACACAGCTAATCTGGGTTCAATCCCTGGCATCGCATGTGAGTGCAGAGCTCAGTGCACCCCTGAGCATTGCTGGGTGTGACCCAAAATAACAAGCAAACAAACAAAAAAACAAAAAGGGAGGGCCAGAGAGATAGCAGAGGAGTCAGCTGTGTGCAAGGAACCTGGTTTGATCCCCAACACCACATAAGGTCCCACCGAGCCCCTCCGCAAGTGATCCCTGAGCACAGAGCCAGTACTAAGCCCTAAGCACTGCCGGAAATGGTGCCACCGCCCGCCCCCCCCCCAAAAACGGGGAAATTTGGACACAGAGACAGGATAAGATGCTGAGTTTGAGGTCAGGCATCGACAAGTCATAGGACACTCAACATTTCTTGGCACCAGCAGCAGCCTAAAGAGGCAAGAAAGAACCCTCTGCTAGGGACCTTAGAGAATTGATGATTTACCTGTTTCCAGCCATATCTCCACCCCCCTTGCCAGTCATATCTCCCCCCGCCGTGCCCCTGGCCCCCCCCCCCGCCCCCGAAACCCAGCATTGTGAGAAACAAACATTTCCAGTGCTGAAAGCTCAGGAGTTTGTAAAGCCTACTACAGCCCTGGGAGATAACTGCAATCTGGGGAAATGGTTGGACTGAAGCGAAGCAACTGAAATCATTTCAATCAAGGGAACAGGGCCAGTGCTGTGGGTTTACTAATTAAAGCTCTCAGCAGCATGGGGACCTTCCTCCCAGCCACTCCACGCACACACTGCCAGGCCCACCTGTCCCGTGTGGGCTGGGGTGACTGCGCATCAGAGTGAGACAAAGCTGAACTTGAATCCTCAACCTGCTACTTCCTTAGGTAGTAAAGTGAAGACTAGATTACAGACTCCAGGGACTCAGAGTCCTCTCTTGCAAAACACAGCCTTTCTCAGAGTTATTTTGAAAATGACTGCCATTTTGTTGCTCCGTTTTTGTTTGTTTGTTTGTTTCGTTTTGTTTTTCCTCTAATTGCCTTTGAACTAAGCTAAGGCCATGAAACATGTGGCTGTTAGGACAGGAACAGTGCTGAAGATTAAACACCTTGTGTGTGGAGAAAGGTATTATAGATGGATTGGATGCTGGTGACGGGCTCATCATCAGGGCACTCCAAAGCAACCCTCTCCTTCTAGAGGTGAGAGCCTGGGTGCCATGGTCTATTTTCCACATTCACACAGGCCATCCTGGGCCTCTGAGGAGACTTTTGAGTTAATGTTCGTAGTTTGTGGATGCACAGAGAAGTCTGTAGTTGACTTGGGGAGCCCTTAAAAAGAAGCAAGACTTAATTTTAAGGGAGGAATAAAGACTTGGCATCTTTAATGGCCCTCGGCCTCCTCCCTGCTTTACTCAGATGAGGGTCTGGCTGGCCATTTCTGGTTCAACATCTCTAAGAATGCTTTGCATGTGCAAGGTCCTGGCTGCATCTTCTCCCACCAAGGATGGCCCTGGAGGCTTCCAGTACCACTAGGCCCAAGCTGTGAACTATTAAGTCCCCACACCTTAGCTGAGTGTCCACAGGAGTGGCCCTCAGGTCTTCTGAGCACGGTTAGGGAGGCAAAAATTTTTTTTCATAAAATTCATATGGTTTATAAAGTATTTTTGGCTGAAAAACACATGTTCATCAGTAATTACACATTATTAGACCTAAAGAAGAGTCATTTACAAAAAATTATACAGAACGCTAACTCTAACGGAGGGCAGATGGTAAATGTACTACTACATGTGTCCAGAGTGCTGGGTTTCCGGCACCGAGTCCAGTTAGTAGACTCAGCAGGTAACTCCTTGCATCCTTCCAGCTTGCAAAGTCGGAATTTTATTAAAACGAATGAATTCAGCTTTCCTATGGTATCTGATGAACTGGTATTGGCAAGAGTGTCACTGATGGGGTGAGGGGTCAGCACTTTCCCTGGAATCAACTGTCATCACCAAGGAAAGACAGTGTCCTCACCGAAAACCAAAAACTGGGCCTGAGAAATAGTACAAAGGTTAAGGCGCTTGCCTGGCATGTGGCTGTGACCACTATCCTGGTCTGAATCCTGTACACATGTGAGGGGTTCCCCTGAACACGCCAGATGTGGTGGCCCCAGGGCACAGAGCTTGTGTCCCCACACCACCAAACAAAATCAAACACTCAGATGGAGACCCTGCATGGGGACTTGGAGACCACAGAGCAAGTCTTTCTACGCTTAAATTTCTAGAGGTGTGTGGGATGGGAGAGCGGCCAGAAGGTCAAGAGGGAAGGAGGGGCAGACAGACTGGAAAGGGTATTGAGGAGGTTTGACTTTAGGTTGGGTTTGGACAGTCACTCATCTGCCCATTAGCACCTGGCCAACACTTAAGTTGGACAATTGAGAATGTGCCCAAGAACTTTGAATAGATACATGAAACTATTTTCATTATGAACCAATCACTGTGCAGAAGGGCAGGAGCTAAGTGTCCTAGAAATTTATCATCCTTAGAGGTTTGAGCTGTCGCAGGCTGCTTTCAATGAGCCTTCCATTGTTCATTCTTTGGCCTTCCTTGAGATCTTGTCCACCGGTTACAGTTACTAGACTATATCTCTAATTGATACCTTCAGATCAGACTTCTCGTGCTAACATAGCATGACTCTTTTTTTTCTTTTTGGGTCACACCCGGCGATGCACAGGGGTTACTTCTGGCTCTGAACTCAGGAATTACTCCTGGCAGTGCTTGGGGGACCATATGGGATGCTGGGAATCAGACCCAGGTTGGTCGTGTGCAAGGCAAACTCCCTACCTGCTATCACTCCAGCCCAGCATGACTTTTAATGGTGTGTCAAAAGCATCCTGAATCCCCTTCCCCCAATTATGTTCTATCACAGGTATCGCACATCCAGTTCTGAGGCCAAAGTTGAAGCTCTGCTTTCCTCTCTGCATTCCTTCATCACAATCCTCCACCTCCTCCACCAACAGCAAAAACAGATTCCCCAATCTGTTCCATCAACGGCCACACTTCTGTTTGTATTTTGACCTCAAATGAGCTGATCAATACCCAGTGCTATTGAGACTTCCTGCTGAGTTTCCTGCATCTTCCTCTCATCTTCCCATGGTCTCGTGCATCAGGCCTAAACTCCCAGAGGGTCATTTGCACAGTCTCTGACCATCTAATTCCCTCACCACCACCACCACCCCTTTAATCTATTTCAAATCAATCCACAGATGAACCTTTTTGAAACCACCATCGCCAAGTCAATGCGTGCACATGAGCCTGTAAGTGTGCTTGCCTCAAGCTAGTGTTAACAAGCCCCTCACTCAGTGTGCAAGAGCTTAGGGTAACAGCTCCTTCCTCCGCTGGTCACCAATGCTCTACATCCATGCATATACCCTCGTCCTTTCTGAGAGCACCAGCTGTGTGCCAGCCACGTTCTCCCTGGCCCACTGTCCACCAGCAGCTCATGCTTCTCAGGAAAGTCAGCATGTCATGCTTCTCTGCCGTCGACACAGAGAGCCTGTCTCTGCTGCTCTACCTGCCCTGCCAGATGTCTCTTCTCCCTGCCAATCCCACTCTGCTCTCTCTCTCCAGATGCACTCTGTACCTGAAACCTTCCCAGGAGAACAAAGCCCAGCCCACACAACCTTTCCTTCTCTTCCAAATTCCCTCTGCATTCACTTGCATGGGGTATTCATCACTAATTCTTATTGTTTCACATGCACCCACTGCACTCCCAATTGGAATGTCAACTCCAGAGGAGCAAAGGCCACTACAGCTCAGACATCTTGATTTCTCCCAGATCTGCATGAGGGCACATACAAAGCCAGAAAGGGTCTTGATTTTGCACACTCCATCATGGGTCAGACCCACCAGCCAGAGCATAAGCGGGGGGTGGAGGTAGGGTGAAACCAGCTCCCAGCACCAGGCTAGGAACCAACCCTAAGATTTTGTTCCGTGTATGTTAAAGACTGAATTAAAATTTTAAAGATCATCCAGGTCCCTTTCATGCCCTGTATACCTCATGCACAGAAATGTCTCCGAAATACAATGGCCGGCACCACCTACTGGGGTATCCAGCTCCCAGCAAATTTGAAATTCTGCACCCTTTTTAGATCGGAATAACAGTAGTGGCAGTGGAGATGGGGAGGCCACATCAGGCTGTCCCCAAGGAGGGGGACACAAAGCCGTGACCTACAAGTCAGCCCCAGCTCACACCCTTGAACCACAGGTCCCCTCGACTGTGACCTCGGGCAGAACCAGGTGAGGCGGAGGTCTCTTACAAAAACTCGGGAGGACGCCCCCTTCCCCCAGGAGTTCTTAGAAAGAGCGTGAGAGGGGAGTGAACTTACCCGCACGTAGAAGTTCATGCCCATCCCCAACAGGTGCTGCAGAAAGAACCTGTCTGGCCTGCTCCCCGGGGTGGGCTCCCCGGGGCCTGGGAAGGGACAGGCATCCGGGGTCCGGGTCAGACAGGCGGCCCTGCCACCCCCCAGCTCCTGCGCGGGCAGCTGCGGCAGAGGCGCGGTTCTGTTGAGAGCGCCGGTTCGGTTGGGACTGGGTTCGGCGGGTGCCGGGCTGCTGGGAGCCGAGTCCTGGCTTTCTTGGAGCTTCAGCCGGGGCACCTCCTTGGTACCCAAGCAAAAGTTTTTCAGACTCAGCAAGGTGGCCGGGTTGGCCAGCTTCACGCTGGCCAAGCGCGGGATCAAGGTGCACAGCGGGGTGGGGCTCTCCTGGGTGGCCGAGGTGGCATCTTCGGGGGGCAGGTGAGGTGCCAGGGCGGGATAGGGAGGCTGCGGGGCGCCCTTGTTGCCCACCGAACCTCCTCCGGGATTGCCTTCATCCAGGGACGTGATGGACTCGTTCCGAAAGCGACTGTACTTGGTTCTGTGCAGCATCCCGGGATGCCAGAGGAGTCCTACATAGAGCACCAGTCCGGCCAGGCTGTCCTGACCGCGGTCTCGCATAGCCCTGGCGGTGCTGACACTGGATCTGGTTGCATAAACCGCCTCGCCCGCCTGCTACATGCGCGCTCCTGGGCGCCCGCGCCTCCGCGCCCCGCGCCCCCTCGCCACGGGCCACCCCCTGGATGACAGCCCCGGGCCCGGCCCCTCCCCGGCCCGCTCGGGCGTGCTGGCTGCAGGCAGGCGGCGGCCGCAGCCGGGGCTCCCCTCCTGGGAGGGCTCCGCGGGCCGGGCCGGGCTGGGCCGCTGCCCCGGGCTTCCCTCCCGCCCGGCTCGGAAACCCGCCAGCCCCGGGCCGCGCCGCGGTCGCAGCGGTGCGGGACAGAGTTAGCGGCCGCCACCCCCAGCGCGGCCTGCCGCACGCAGCAACTTTCGAACCTGCTCCCTCCGGCGGGGCGGGGCAAGGGCTGGCCGTTAACCCCTTATTTGTTGCAGGGAGTGCTCATTCCGAGGCGCGGCGGCGGCCCACCGGCGCCCCGGGGCCCTCCTGCGGAGTGGGCGGCGGCGTCGGAGGGAGGGTCGCCCTCCCTCGGAGGAGCTGGTCTCGCATCCCGCCCGGACCACGGGCCTGGGTGCCGGGAACGGCGCGGTTCCGCGGTCTCGCCAGGACGGGCGGTGTCCCCCACCCCGCGGGGCTCCTCTCCCCGCCGCGCCTCCCTCCCCGACGGGCTCCGAGCTTCTTTCAGGACTCCGCTCGCCCGCAGGAGACTGGGAGATGCGGAGGAGAAGCAGTGTTTAAATTTTTATGAATGAACTTTGCTGAATGAATCTCTCTCTCTCTCTCTCTCTCTCTCTCTCTCTCTCTCTCTCTCTCTCTCCCTCCCTCCCTCCCTCCCTCCCTCCCTCTCTCTGTATGTGTGCAGGCTCATAAATCTGTGAATGAAGCTGAGAATAGCTATAACTGACTGATGGTCTCAGGGGTGCTCGGTTTTTATCCAATCAGGTGGCAGCCTGATGACTCATGCACCATAAATATACTAAACTAGTAGCCAAGAGAAATAAAGCTGGAGGAAGAGAGATTCTTGCTTGTTTGTTTTTGTGATCGCCCATGCAAGGGTTAAAAGGAAATGCCGTCTTTTACTATAAATCCTCAGCAAGTTGAGAAGGAGCAGGTTCAAAAACTTATTCCCCACCCCACCACCACCACCACCACCACCACCACCCTTTCGTTCTTTTTCGTGGTTGAGCTGGCGGCGAAAGCCCAGCAGAAGAGCTAAAAATTAGATCCATTGTTCCAGGGATATTAGGACATATGGTACACTACTCCTGAGGGAGGCAGTGATGCATTTTTCTTAGAAACATAGCTCTTTTTTTTTTTTATTGATTGCTGGTTCCATCTCCCATCTGGTGCAACTTCCTGTACCAACTAAATGTATCCTGAAGATGTGATGACAAGTGCAAGAGTCTGGGCACACAGGAAGCTGAGAATGGAACCGGGAAAGGGAAATGCAGGTTCTTTAGGAGAAGAGGAAAGTGCTGAGACAGGGGAGGGATGTGGATGTCACTGATGAAGGCCCTGCTAAAGGTGACCTTACTGGGTATGAGGGAGGTGGGGGGGGGGGGGGGACCAAGGTTCTCATGCCAGAAACTGTTCATTAAGTCAAACGGGAGAACATGCCCAGAATCCTTGGGGTTTAGGGACTCCACTTGGATTGCACTTCTTCCTCTTGGCTGCATTAGGGTCTTGTGTATTCATGACATGGGCCTCCTCAGACTTGCTGGCATCCAAACACAGATTCAGAATTAAGTGCTTGCTTGGGAGTCACCAAAGGGTCTTCTTTCTCGCTCACCTAAAGAAAAAAGGTGCCTTTGGGGCCCGAGACCCAGGACATTAGGTAGGATGCTTGTTTTGTCCTCAATCAACCCCAGTTTGATCCTCGGCAAAATATATGGTCACTGAAGTCCCACCTGGAGAAACCCCTGAAGATAGAGGCAGGAGTAAGTGCTAAGTGGAAGGAAGGGAGGGAGGGAGGGAGGGAAGGGAGGGAGGGAAGGGAGGAAGGAAGGAAGGAAGGAAGGAAGGAAGGAAGGAAGGAAGTCTTTTCACAGCATGTGTACCAAAACTGTTAGATTGGGTCTCTCTTGGGGAAGGCCCTCTTGTATCTGCAAAACCTTCCCCTACAATCAGGGTTTCCCTCCACTCTGCTTGTGATCCCCACATCTCCTCCTGGCAAAGCGAGGGAAGTGGCTGAGGAGTTTGAACATATCTGGAGAGCAAGACATTGGTGAAGCAACTAACCTGGAACCTCTGATTCCTAACTCTTCTTCTTCTTCAGCCCTGCTGTTCCTCACCCCCGTAACCCCTGCTTGCTGCCCTGGGGAAGCTCTTTTACCCTCCTGTCTGCCTGGAGCAGGGGTCTCGTGGCATGCTCTAGGGGTTCGTTCCCAAGAAGCAAGGGCTCAGCTCCATATCCCACCCATGCCTGCCTCCTTAGGTACGTGCAGAGCACTTGAACCCAGGCCCCTGTCCTTCAGCTGCGACTCAGACTCACTTTCTCTCCAGTGCCATCCTAAGCCGTTAAAAAGGTTAGCCAATGCAAACACGAAGAGGTAGACAATGCCAAGCAGACCTCTTTGAGGAAGTCCCACTAGTGCCTTTGATGGAGGTGAAAGGAACCAGATTAGCAACTAGGCAGTAGGGATCGAAAAGTGGGGGGTGGGGGTGGGGGGGAGCAGAAGGCAAAGACAGGAGCTGAGCAGCTGTCCCCAAAGCCAACAGAGGGCTCCTTCACAGAGCAGCGTTCAGCCCAGGCAGGAGGTACGCAAGGCTTTATGACTTGCTTTCTCCCAGATATCAGACAGCCACACCCACGAAACTTTCTTCCAAACATCCTTTTCAAATGATCACTGTCACTGTCACTGCCATCCCCTGGTTCATCGATTTGCTCAAGCGGGCGCCAGTAATGTCTCCATTTATCCCAGCCCTGAGCTTTTGGCAGCCTCTCCTTACTCGTCCTCCCCATGCTGCCGTATTGGAGGCTCTTTCAGGGTCAGGGGAATGAGACCCGTTATTGTCACTGTTTTTGGCAGAGCAGATATGCTAAGATATGCTATGGGGAGCTTGCCAGGCTCTGCAGTTCAGGTGCGATACCCTCCATAGTTTGCCAGGGTCTCCAAGGGGTCAGGAGATTCTGTGTTGCTCTCTTCTGGGATCTTTATTTTATAGGCTCTGGATCTTGGCTGTTGATGAGATTACATGGTGCTGGGGGAGGTTCGTGGATGTGGCTGCCAGACTACTTGAAAACGGGGGACCTGGGTGGAGGAGGCCCAGTCCCGATCCGAGCAGGTTTGGAGATCTCAGCCACGGGTCCCGCATACCTGGGTTCCTCTGCTAACTCCCTCATGGGTGAGGCGTGTGGAGAGTGGCCTTTAGCATGGATGTGGCTGGGTTCTTGCGGTTTTAGGCTGCCAGGGCTCTGCTTGGGGCAGGAAGGGAGGCTCAACCTGCCCCCCTCCAAGGTGCCCCAGTGAAGACAGCCTGAGGTGGGGCAGGAGATTCAAATAATAACTTATGAAAATCATATTAACTCAAGCTACTGAAGCTGAAGTGAGAGCACAGTGAGTCAAGTGTTTACCCTGCGTGCAGCCGATTAGGGTTCGATCCTTGACACTGCCTATAGCTCTTGAGTCCCACCAGGACTGAGCCGTGAGAGCACAGCTAGGTGTGGTCCCCAGACCAGACCAAACCAAAACAAAAATACTACTGTTCATGAAACAAAAGACAGTTACCTGTGTTCTCATCCAACCACTTTACCAACTTGAGGTATTTGATGCTGTTCCTAGCACTGCTTCCAAGCTGCGGGAACAGTAGTGAGAGCCAGGGTCAGGCTGAGGGGTCCCTCCAGTCTAAGAGCAGAGCCGGTGCAGGGTGTCAGTGTGTTTGCTGCCTTCCAAGGCACCAAAAGCATCTGCAGAGAGCCTAATAAGCCACACTGCAGCAGAGGTCACCGAGGCTCAGAGCCACCCTGGACATCCAGTTTATCCAGGCCCACAGCCCCTATGGTCAGTCGGCCGACTCTGTCCAGCTTCAGACCCTTAGCTGCTGTGGTACCAGCCAGCATGGTGAAGAACTGAACCCAGTCCTGGCCATTCATGAAATGTTAGCTTTCTGTTTCCCTCTACTTGAAGAGTAGAGCTTTAATATTCACGCCAGTTACCTCACTAAATGGCCCCGGGGGAACCTAAATAATAGATTTACCCCCCCCTAAAAATTATTAGAGCCTGGCAAGAATTCAGGGGTAGAGCAGTGGCTTTGCAAGGCTGAGGTCACATATCTGATCCCTGTACTGGCCCACATGTGCCAAGCATCATCCCAGTGGCAATGCCAGGGATACCCTGACACCACAGCAGTGTGTGGCCTCAGTGTGCAATCTCTGGGAGAGTGAGGAGGAAGGAAAGGAGGGAAGGAGAGAGGGAGGGGAGAGAGAGAGAGAGGGAGGAAGAATGGAAGGAAGGAAGGAAGGAAGGAAGGAAGGAAGGAAGGAAGAAGGAAGAAAGGAAGGAGGAAGAATGGAAGGAAGGAAGGAAGGAAGGAAGGAAGGAAGGAAGGAAGGAAGAAGGAAGAAAGGAAGGAGGAAGAATGGAAGGAAGGAAGGAAGGAAGGAAGGAAGGAAGGAAGGAAGATTGGAAGGAAGGAAGATTGGAAGGAAGGAAGGAAGAATGGAAGGAAGGAAGGAAGGAAGGAAGAATGGAAAAAAGAAAGAAAATGGAAGAATGGAAGGGAAGAATGAAAAAAGGAAGAATGGAAGGGAGGAAGGAAGAATGGAAGGAAGGAAGAATGGAAGAAGCAAGGAAGGAAGGAAGGAAGGAAGGAAGGAAGGAAGGAAGGAAGGAAGAAGAAATTAATACTTTGCAAAAATTTTAAAAAATTATTATTGGCTTTAAAACAGTGGAGTACCATAGCTCTTCTTATCACCCCCTTTGGAAAATGGGGTTCTGTTTAGACCACTTCAGGCTTGAGATACCCCATTCTCTTCAAGGGTGCTTATTCTAAACCAATATAAACATATTATTTGCTTTGTTTGGGTCTTTTTTTTTTGGTTTTGGGGTGACTCTGGGCAATGCTCAGGGGACCGTGCAGTGTCAGGGATGGCATCCGATCTTCTTGCATGCAGAGCTCATCACACTCTAGTGCTCTGAGC